GAACAGACGTTTTCGCGTCGCTTAGTTAGCGCGTGTCCGCGCTTAGGTTGAAAGGCTTCGATCTGCCGAGGGAAATGGGAGGCTGCTGTACTAATCAAAACTTTTAGCGGAGAACTTTGCGAAGATGGTTCCTAAGCACGCATCCGAACACATGGAATGTGACAATAACTGACAAAATAGTAGAGATTCAGAAATTACGGAGAGAGCACTGCAGATAATAACAGCAAACACTTACACATTTCGCCTACGCGACATGGCGGAGAAACGTAGCAGTTCCCTTCCCTTACTCGGCTTATCTGCGAAAAAGTCCACCACGGGAAGAAAGGGAGAAATTGAAGGAAAATTAGAGGCATCATAGTCTGCAAGTTCAACATCATAACTTAGTAGGTACAGGAGGGCTGTCACATCGGAACTTAGTAGTCAAAGGAATCAGGAGCGAGCTTCTGATAAACATGGAACAAGGACTTAGCAAAGGAAGGATTGTGACGTAGGATGTGGGTATTGGTACGGGAGGTACATGTGTACAGGGGAATCATGGGAGAAAGGTTTGCGTGGTGACGGTGAGGGAATAATGGGTGGACGTTTTTGGATGGGTTTGGTTGGGTGTGCTGTCGTGTAGATAACGGATGGTGCGGAATTATTGACTCTTCACAGCAGAACCATGATTGGTTCAAATTGATTTGTTTGCTCACACGTCACACATCTGAAGAAACCAGCTTGCGTTTGTGGGTTCGGTTGGGCGGTTGGGTTCGGAGTTGGGAATGAACGAAATCGATGTATCCACTTTTGCAACCTCACGGGAATTCGTAAGATCCTTCTGTTTCGTAAATTTTGATGTTACCCTGGTCAATGTCAATTTTAACCTGCCAAACCGCTTTCAAACTCTCTCCAACGCGTGAAACCGAGTTCTGCGAAAATGTTGACGGAGAAGCAACTTTGCGGTGACATTTTTCCGCAGGCTTCCGCATTCGCCACTGGTGTGCGTTGTTTTTTGGATACTGTGCGCAACTTGTACGGAAGATTTACGCATAAAAACCTTCGGAGGCAAAAAATCGCAACTTCCCTTTTTCGCGATGTATCGCCCGAGGCTGAGTGGCGTGGAACATCTGCGCGTTCCGCGAGCGGTTGTTCCGGCGCGAGCACTTCCGCGAGCAGTTCCGCCGCTTCCCAACCGCCCGAGGCTGTTAGTCCAGTAAGAGGCGCTAGGAACGCGATCAAGTGGCGACAATTCAGCGCTATACTACGTTGCGAGTTGAAAAGCAAATTTAGCTTGTAACATGGTGCATCTGAATGCCCGCGCAGGAGGGTAACGGCGACTGACATTTAGTCGTCGACATTGTCGCCCTGGCTGGTGAACGATCGTGAGAAGCAATAGGATTGGATCCCACAGAAGCACAGATAAATTATTGATATCTGTGCAAATGAGGGATGGAGTTCTCGCGGAAGTGAATTATTGCAATCGAACGGCTCAGGTTCACTCATCTCATCCCCTCCACAAACGCGTGAATTATTGGAATCGCGCAGGCGGAGGGGATGCGTGACTATCAAATTATATATATGCTGCATATTGTGTAGGCTGTAGTGGGGTAGCCCATATGGGGTACAACCCAATTAGGGTTAACTACTTGTACTCCTGCATCCTGCTAGTTCATCCATTCCTGCCTTGTAATTCTAACATGGTATTCAGAGCAGGAGGTCCCTAGGACCTCAGGATCGATTTTTTTTAGGGCCCACCACCTACTGCCTGCGGTTACCGTGCTACCCCACGCCCTGCCTGAGCCTGCCTGCCTTGCCTGCCCGTCGCACTGCCCTGCGGCCCCGCGCGCGCCCTGCCCTTGCCCGTCGCGCTGCCCCGTAGCACCGCGCACCGCCCGCCCTGCCGCCGATGCGGCCCCGCCCTGCCGCCGACGCAGCCCCGCCCTGCAGCTGACGCGACCCTTCTCTACAGCCGTTTTTTTTTTTCGGCCCCACCGCCCGCCGAGCGCCGGCCCTGCCCACCACTGGTGAGCACCTGCCCTACCCGAGCTTCCCGCGTGCCTGCCTTGTGAGCGCGTTGCCGCGCCATCTGCCTGCCTGCCTGCCGGCCTGCCTGCCTGCCTACCTGCCTGCCTGCCTGCCTGCCTGCCTGCCTACCTGCCTGCCTGCCTGCCGGCCTGCCGGCCTGCCTGCCTGCCTGCCTGCCGGCCTGCCGGCCTGCCTGCCTGCCTGCCTGCCGGCCTGCCTGCCTGCCTGCCTGCCTGCCTGCCTGCCTGCTTGCCTGCCTGCCTGCCGCGCCTGCCCTGCCACTACTAGGCTGCTGCTGCTGCTTCTCCTGCTACCACTACTAGGCTGCTGCTGCTGCTACCACTACCACTACAGTAATAGAAAATATATACGCTGCTGCTACCACTACATCGCATGGCTACCACTACCACTACAGTAATAGAAAATATATGCGCTGCTGCTACCACTACTAGGTTGCTGCTGCTGCTACTCCTGCTCCTACTACTGGTGCTGCTCCTGGCGGTGACAAGATGCAGCTCCAGCGACGTTCGCGCGAGTCTCTCACACCCCAGCAGCTTCGTGAGTGGTACACTAGTTGGGGTTGTGGCGGTAGCCGTCGTGGCTGTCGCCCTGGAGCTGGTCAGTTGGGAGCGTCTGGGTGTGGCCAGCTGCAGCTGCAGCGGCGCCCACGCGAGACACTTACGCCCCAGCAGCTTCATGAGTGGTACGCTCAGAGTAGAGGGTCTCGGAGTACAGTTCGCTGCCAGTACGTCATTCGCACAGGTGATCGGGCTGGTCAGGCTTGCGGGACGCTTGGTCACACACAGTCCCGCTGCTTCGCCCGTCTGAGCGACGCCTGGCGTACCGAGTTTGGCGACGCGGCTGAGCTCGTTGCCTACTAGTGCTGACGGTGCCTGTTACCTGTGCGTGCCGCCTGACCCCGGTATAGAGCCTGCTGCTCTAGGTGCTTGTGAGGCTGCTGCTCTAGGTGCTAGTGCGTCTCCTGCTCTAGGTGCTGGTGAGTCTGCTCTCTCTGGTACTGCGCCTGCTGAGGCCTTGTACACCTTCACGCTTGACTCAGGTGCTTCCCGCTCCTTCTTTCGCGACAGCACCACCCTCACGCCGCTCAGTCGGCCGGTTGCAGTCTCCCTGGCAGACCCCTCTGGGGGTCCAGTCCTTGCGCACTCCTCCACGGTCCTGCCGTGTCCGGCGGTCCCGTCTGGCTCCCTGTCAGGTCTTCACCTCCCCTCGTTCTCTATGAACTTGGTGAGTGGTGCTGACCTCCAGGACCAGTGGGTTGACCAGTTCACTCCTGGAGGTCAGCGCGTGACCCACTGTACGTGCTCCCGGACAAGCCGGCACCTGGCCACGTTTACCCGTGCGCCTGGCTCGAGTCTGTACACACTGACTACTGTGTCCCCTCAGGTCGCTGCGTCTGCGTCTGCGTCAGGTCAGCTAGCGGCCCCCTGCTCGTGTCGCGCTTTGTCGCACCAGACCCTCCTTTGGCACCACCGTCTTGGTCACCCCTCGGTGCAGCGCCTTCGTAGCATGCACCGCCGGGTCCTTGTCTCTGGTCTTCCCAGGGTTCTCCCTCCCCTCCCACCCTCGCCTGCTCCTCCCTTTCTTCCCTGTGTCGAGGGGAGGCAGCGCGCCGCTCCTCACTCCTCCTCGTTTCCCCCGACGACTGCTCCCCTGCAGACCCTGCACATGGACGTGTGGGGCCCAGCCCGCGTCACTGGACAGGGCCGCGAGTGGTACTTTCTGCTGGTTGTCGACGACTACTCGCGTTACACCACGGTCTTTCCCTTGCGCACCAAGGGTGAGGTCCCTGATGTTTTGATCCCTTGGATCCGCGCTGTACGTCTCCAGCTCCGCGAGCGGTTCGGGACGGAGTTTCCCGTCCTGCATCTGCACTCTGACAGAGGTGGGGAGTTTTCCTCCGACCTTCTGCAGAGCTTTTGTCGTGGGGAGGGCATTCGCCAGACGTTCACGCTTCCGGCCTCTCCGCAGCAGAATGGGGTTGCTGAGCGCCGCATTGGCTTAGTCATGGAGGTCGCTCGTACCTCCATGGTCCATGCGGCTGCCCCCCATTTCCTGTGGCCGTTTGCGGTCCGCTACGCCGCCCATCAGCTCAACCTCTGGCCCCGTGTCTCCTTGCCGGAGACCTCGCCCACACTGCGGTGGACGGGGGAGGTTGGCGATGCGTCGGTGTTCCGGGTCTGGGGTTCTCGTGCCTTTGTCCGCGATACCACCGCGGACAAGCTCTCCGCCCGCGCCTGGTTGGCAGTTTTACCACCCCACCTCGCGCCGTGTCTTCCCCTCTCAGGACGTCACGTTCGACGAGTCGGTTCCCTTTTACCGTCTCTTCCCCTACCGCACTGCCCCTCTCCCCCCCCCGCCGCTCTTCCTCGCTCCAGGTGCTCCCCAGGTAGACCCCCTCCTTGCCCCCGGTCCTGCTCCTTCAGGTGTGTCTCAGGTAGACCCTCCTCCCTTGACTGCGCCGGTTGAGGTCACTGGTGACTCAGGTCCTGCTGAGGGTGGTCCTGCTTGGGGTGCTGCTTCTGGGGGTGCTGAGCCTGGGGGTGCGGAGCGTGGGGGTGCTGAGCCTGGGGGTGCGGAGCCTGGGGGTGCTGAGCCTGGGGGTGCGGAGCCTAGGGGTGCTGAGCCTGGGGGTACTGCGTCTGGGGGTGCTGCACCTGGGGGCGTTGGGACGTCTGGTGAGCAGTCTCCCTCGAGCGACCGTCTCCGTAGTCGCTCCGCTGGTGCCTCGCCGCTGCACTCTCGTAGCCGTCTCCCTCTCTCCCCACAGCAGCTGCGTGAGTGGTACGTTAGCCGTCAGGGTCGAGCTGCTGGAGCTGGGGGCCCTGCTGCGGGGGGCACTGGTGTTGGAGGCACTGGAGCCGGCACTGTCCCTGGGGGTGCTGAGCCTGAGCGTGAGGAGCCTAGGAGTGCTGAGTCTGGGGGTGCTGAGCCTGAGCGTGAGGAGCCTGGAGGTACTACGTCTGAGGGTGCTGAGCATGTGCGTGAGGAGTCTGGGGGTGCTGAGTCTGGGGGTGCGGCGCCTGAGGGTACTGCGACTGCTGGTGCGCGGTCTCCTTGGAGTGGCCGCCTTCGTCCGCGTGTGCCTCTCACCTCACAGCAGCTGCACGACTGGTACGGTCGCCGTCAGGGTCGCGCTGCTGGAGCTCGGGGCTCTGCCGCTGGAGGTGCTTCTGCTGACGTCGCTGGAGCTGGGAGTGGTGCTGGTACTTTGTCTACTGGAGGTGCTGGAGTTGCTGGTCCCGGAGGTGCTCGTACTGGCAGTACTGGAGCTGCTGGGACTGGAGGTGCTGTGTCTGGGGGTGCTGCTGCTGGAGACGCTGAGGCTGGAGACCCTGGGACTGGAGTTGCCGGTTCTGGGGGTGCTGCTGCTGGAGACACTGCGGTTGGAGACCCTGGGACTGGAGGTGCCGGTTCTGGGGGTGCTGCTGCTGGTGGAGCTGGTCCTGGAGGAGCTGGCGCTGGAGATTCTGGAGCTACTAGGGGCGCTGGAGCTGCTGGTACTGGTGGCACGGCGCAGCCGAGACTGTTCTTCGCTCCGCCGTCTTCGTCGTCCCCGCCACCGCCTCAGTCTGTGCTTCGCCAGGTTCTTAGCCTACCGTCGTCTACTGGTCTTCCGTTACAGCCTGGCTCCCCACTGCCTGCTCCTTCTCCTTACACTGAGCAGACTGGGGGTCTTGCTGAGCGTCGTGAGCCTGCGTCGCGTCCTGTCTCGCCTGTCCCCTCTGGTCGTTCCGGTCGGCGTGTTCCTCGTCCGCGTCAGCCAGCTGTCCCCGGCACACGTCTCGTAGTCCGTCGTCCTTCCTCTGCTCCGCAGTCTGTTCCTCTGCCGTCTCCCCCTGCGTCCTCTCTGCCTGACGTTCCGGACCCTGAGTCTGACCGGTTTCGTGCTGAGCACCCTACTGTCACGCGTCTGTTAGCCACAGTTGTCACTGACCCGTCGTTTGGGTCTTCTGCTGCGTCTGCCTTGGTCGCTGAGCTTGTTGACTTTGCTGCTGCCTGTCGTCTAGACTACGCCACTGCTCCTGTTGCTGAGTCTACGTCTGTCTGTCCTCTGTCCGTCGGGGGTGAGTGTGCTCTTGGCACGGACGTCCTTGAGGACAGACAGGAGGACCTTGAGTGTCTTGCAGCCGCTGCACCTCATCTCGTGGCCATGCTGCTTGCCCCTGAGGGAGACCCGGATGCTCTAGACATCCCTACCCCGCGCTCTTACGCTGAGGCGATCGCGGGTCCCTACTCCTCTCAGTGGCAGACAGCCATGGACGCAGAGATGGCATCCTGGAAGTCCACAGGCACTTACGTTGACGAGGTTCCCCCTCCTGGGGCGAACATCGTCGATGGCATGTGGATTTTCAGGGTGAAGCGGCCGCCGGGTTCTCCGCCTGTCTTCAAGGCTCGTTACGTTGCTCGAGGCTTCAGTCAGCGACAGGGAGTTGACTTCTTCCATACCTTCTCCCCCACCCCGAAGATGACCACTCTTCGGGTACTGCTGCACGTTGCCGCTCAGCGTGACTACGAGCTTCACTCACTGGACTTCAGCACAGCCTTCTTACAGGGCAGCCTGCACGAGGAGATCTGGCTGCGCCGCCCACCTGGCTTCACTGGGTCGTTCCCGCCTGGTACCCAGTGGAGCCTCCGGCGGCCAGTCTACGATCTCCGCCAGGCGCCCCGTGAGTGGCACGACACACTGAGGACTACACTTGCGGCTCTTGGGTTTGCTCCGTCGACTGCTGACCCGTCGCTGTTTCTGCGCACCGACACTTCCCTGCCGCCGTTCTACATCCTCGTGTACGTCGACGACTTGGTTTTTGCCACTGCTGACACTGAGGCTCTCACCCTGGTGAAGTCGGAGCTGCAGAAGAGACACACGTGCACTGACCTGGGTGAGCTGCGCAGTTACCTTGGCTTGCAGATCACCCGGGACAGAGCACGCCGCACCATCATACTGACTCAGTCACACATGGTGCAGCAGGTCCTTCAGCGCTTCGGCTTCACCTGGTCCTCGCCACAGGCCACTCCTCTGGCTACAGGTCACTCGCTCTCAGCTCCACCTTTGGACGAGTCCGTAGAGCCGAGTGGTCCTTACCCAGAGTTAGTGGGCTGCCTCATGTACCTGATGACCTGCACTCGTCCTGACCTTGCGTACCCTCTTGGCCTTCTGGCACGCTACGTGGCTCCTGGTCGACACCGAAAGGTGCACTGGGATGCCGCGAAGAGGGTGTTGCGTTACTTGTGCAGTACATCGGGCATGGGGCTCGTGCTTGGAGGGCGGAGAGACGTGGTCCTCACTGGGCACTCAGACGCTTCTTGGGTTGACGACCAGGCTACGCAGCGGTCGTCACAGGGTTACACTTTCAGCCTTGGCTCCGGTTCTGTTTCTTGGCGTTCTACTCGCTCCTCTTCTGTTCTCAGCTCCAGTTGTGAGGCTGAGATCTACGCCACTGCCATGGCTGCTCAGGAGTTACGCTGGCTCACTTACCTGCTGACCGACTTGGGAGAGCGGCCTCATTCTCCTCCAGTGCTGTACGTCGACAACAAGGCCGCCATTGCCTTGTGTGAGGAGCACAGACTGGAGCACAGAACGAAGCGCATCGCTCTGCGTTACTTCCTGGCTCGAGAGTTGCAGCAGCGTGGTCAGCTTCGTCTTGCACACGTGGCCACTCAGGCCAACACTGCTGATATATTCACCAAGGCACTTCCGTCTGGTGACCATCAGCGCTTTTGTACTTTGTTGGGCCTTGTGCCTACGTTTCCTCACTTGCTGTAGACTCTGCTTGTACTGTGATCCATATATATATACCTGCATGCTCTGCTTGCTTGCTCTTGCTAGGTAGTGATCACTGTACTGTTCTTGTTGCATATATACCTCTGCATGTGAACTGGCCTTGTGGCCCTTTGCTTGTGCTCAGTGTGTGTGGTGACGTTGTGATCCACCCTGAGCTTGCTTTGCTTTTCTTGACTGGTCTTGTGACCCCTTGCTCTCCCCCACTTTGCCTATGGGGGTGTGTCAAATTATATATGCTGCATATTGTGTAGGCTGTAGTGGGTAGCCCATATGGGGTACAACCCAATTAGGGTTTACTACTTGTACTCCTGCATCCTGCTAGTTCATCCATTCCTGCCTAGTAATTCTAGCAGTGACACGTATCGACGCACTAATAGAAGAATATTCATTTCAATGCGGATCTGTAAGACGATTTACAAAGTACAGCTTTCAAAAACATTTTATGTTCTGAGGCCAATGAGGAAAAATGGACTTGTAGGGTCGCACAATGGGCTAGTCACAGATAACCGAAGGCAACCCTTGCACTCCACCTTGCCTCCGACACAATATCCTCCCTGCTCCCGCCCCCGGTCCAGCATCATCCCTCCCTACTTGGCAGCAGCAGCACCACCAGGAGGGGGCCGCTGCCTGCCATCAGGGATGGCAATGAGCACCATGGGCTTGTGCGGGCGCACGAGCGGCTGGTCGCAGATGTAGTAGCCCTTGCGCTCCAGCTGTATGATGTCCCCCCGCTGCAGGTTGCGCATGTTGGCGTCTCCCACTGCTGCCTCCTCCCAGCGCGTGCGCGGGTTGAGCGCCGCCAGGAAGTCGTCGTCCTCGTCCAACTGGGGGGTGGGGGAGGGAAGTGGATGGGAGGAGTGAAGGGCAGAGAGAGATGGTTGAAACCAACGGTATACGGCCCGCATGCTGCTGTCACCCACTGCTGCCTCCTCCCACCGCGTGCGCGGGTTGAGTGCTGCCAGGAAGTCATCGTCCTCATCCAGCTGGGGGGTTGGGGAAAGGAAGGGGATAGGGAGAGCAAGGAGCAGAGAGGGAGGGTTGAAACGAGCAACATACAGCCCTCTCATGTTGGCATCGCCGACTGCTGCCTCCTCCCAGCGCGTGCGCGAGTTGAGTGCCGCCAGGAAGTCATCATCCTCCTCGTCCAACTGGTGGGTTGGGGAGGACGGAATGTGGTGGAAGGAGTAAGAAGCAAACAGGGGGGGTTGATACCAACAGCATACGGTCCTCTTGTTGCTGTTGCCCACTGCCGCATCCTCCCAGCGTGTGTGCGGGTTGAGGGCTGCCAGCAAGTCATCGCCCTTGTCCAACTGGCGGGTGGGGAGGGAAGCGGGTGGGGAGGATGAAGAGAGTGAGGAGGGAGGGGAGGGAGGGAAGGGTGAGGAGAAAAAAGAGGGAGGGAAGGCCGAGGGAGGGGAGGCAGGCGATGGTGGATTGAGTGCTGAAAGAAAGTCATCATCCATCCTCGTCCAGCTGGTGGGTTGAAGGGGGGGGGGGGGGGGGGGGGGGGTGGTGTTTGGTGGAAGGAGTACGGGCAGAGAGGGGGGTGGTTAAATCCAACAGCATACGGTCCGCATATTGCTGCCTCTCCCACCGCGTGCGCGGGTTGAGTGCTGCCAGGAAATCATCGCCCCCGTCCAGCTGGGGGGATGCAAGGAGGGGGGGTTGGTGGGGGAGAGAGGGAGGAGAGGGAATTCTTCATGATTATCCCACCTACTTTGTAACCCCCCCACCTTCTGCATAACCATTGCACCTTCTTTGTAACCAGCGCACCTTCTTCTTGGTGATGAGGTAGTCCAGCTCCACGAGCGTGAGAGGCACGAGCTCATCGCTGTCTGCCAGCCACGTCAGCTTCAGCTTTGTCGTCTTCACCGACCCCTCCAGATGCAGCACCCCCTCCATCGCCTCCACCTCCCCCTCGCCCTCCCCTCCCCCCTCCTTCGCCCCTCCCTCCTTCCCTCCCCCCTCCCCCTCACCCCCCGCCCGCATGGTCTTCTTCTGCACAATGGCATTGCCCCAGTCCATCAGAGTCACCTCCTCGCCCTCCTTGATCATGCGCGCGTCAGCCCCCTCCAGCCACACGCGCCGGGAGAACACAGTCGCCTTCATGCCGGCAGGGGGGTGCTTCTTGTGGCGCGGCAGCACGCGCACAAAGGGGGTGTCGGGCCCGTTGGTGAGGGAGAGCGGCACGCGGGCGGCAAGGAGGATGGCGGTGTGGCGCGGACACACGGGGTCGATGAGCTTCTTGTTGATCGTCCACAGCTTGTCCATCTCCATCAGGTTCAGGTTCTTGGACGCTCCCTGTGGGGGGTGGAGGCGGTGAGGGACAGAGTGAGAAACTGACAAGGACCTGTCCTCCCATCACTGATTGTCCATAGCTTGTCCATCTCCATCAGATTCAGGTTCTTGGACGCTCCCTGGTGGGGGAGGGGAGGGAGTGAGTGAGGCAGTAAGGGAAGGAGTGAGAGCGGGAATGAGAAGGATGTTTCACTTGTTGTTCATCGTCCATAGCTTGTAAATCCCCATTAGATTCAGATTCTTGGATGCTCTCTGGGGTGGGGGGGTGGGGGGGTGGGGGGAGGGGGGGAGTAGGGGAGGAGGTGAAGGAGGAAGCAAGGGAACACGATGAATCTATAAATAACCCCATCAGCATCGTCCACAGCTTGATTATCTCCATCAGATTCAGGTTCTTCGACGCTCCCTGGGGGGGAACGACGGGGGAGTGGTTGAGGGGGGGACGGGGGGTGAAGGAGGGAGTGAGGCAATGAAAGGATGTTTCAATCCTGCAATGAAAGGATGTTTCACTCCTTGTTGATCGTGCACAGCTTGTCCGTTTTCATCAGATTCAGGTTCTTCGACGCTCCCTGGGAGGGAGCGAGAGGGAGGCAAAGGAGCGAGAAAGGGAGTGAGACGAAGAGAGGAAGGAATAGTCGAAGCTAGTCGAAAAATAGTCAAGTAGTGAGGTTCACGAGCGAAGGACTCGGCCTAGTGGGGAGAAGCGGCGAGGGAACGGGGTGAAGGAAGGAGAGGTATGAACAACACGACCTGCACACCTCTTGTGCATCCACGTAAGTGCACACATATTAAACCTCAGGATACATCTGAATCGTTGCCACATCTGGTTGGTTGCAGCATATGCTGCATGGTGGGAAAGGAAGGTTCGCACATGTACACCCTGGCTTCAAGTCATGGCCAAGCCCACTGAATGGATGCACACCTTTGAGAGGATGAACTGCATGCGAGCGCGCACGGTAAGCCCGCGCCTGAGCGTCCCTGTACGGTGCGAAAGCATGGTCCCAACCACCCAGCCACGTTGCCTTGAAGTCCACTGTAAGGCCACTCTAAGCCCCCCCTAAGCCCACCCTAAGCCCACTCTAAGCCCACGCTAACCCACTTATGCATACTTGTGAGAGGATAAACTGTTTTAGTGCGGGCACGGTGAGGCCCCGCCTGAGCATGCCCTGCACGGTGGGGAAGCGCGGGTCGTCCCACCCGGTGACACGGCCGTTGTCCACGAACCACGCGAGCTTGCGCTTGGACAGCAGCGTGTATACGAAGTTGAGTCGCGAGAAGTCCCACACCTCCACTCGCCGCAACCCCATGTCCTGCAGTCAGTCAGGGCAAGGTGCAGGCAAGAAGACGACGGGTGGAGGTGAGGGGAGCGTGCAATCAGAGAGCAGGGTGTACACGAAAATGAGAGTGAGAAATCCCACACCTCCACCCGCCA